CAGCAAAGGCTCATTATTAATTTAACTGCATTTTCAGATTCCAGATGTGCATTTCCATCCAGAGATTGCCTCTCTGTTCCTGTTGTCTCCCGCTTTCCAGAGGCGCCAACAGACCAAATCATAGCAACAATCATCAGTTATGGAGATTTGTTCTGGTTTCAATACCCAAAGAATTTAAATTCTAACTCGCTGGTGGCAAAAAGCAAGAAAGTTGTATATCACCAACACCTTCTTAATTTAATTGTATCTTTCTTTGATTGGGATGATTCCTCTAGCATTTATGAAATTATAAGCGTATATTTTAAATCAACTTTATCATATATGAAGATACAACAGAAACAAAAACACAAAATCATGTTTTAAAATTTTTTCCTTTTTTTCATTGCAAATTTACTTAACCCCTTGGCAGAAAATTCAGCACTTACAGGCTTCCATTTAAGGCCTGCAGCATTAACTCTTTTCTGCACAGATCCTGTCCAATAACAAACCCCAAGGGTAGCTATCCACTCTCCTAAGGTCAGAGTTTTTATTGTTGTTTTTAAAAAATATTTTTTATTGATTTCAGAGGAAAGGAGAGAGATAGAAACATCAATGATGAGAATCATTGATCAACTGCCTCCTGCACACCCTACACTGTGGACCAAGCCTGCATCCTGGGCATGTGCCCTGATCTCTAAGCTGTAAGATCCCTATGGGCAGGGTCTGGCTCCACCTTATTCTCCACTGTGTCCCCAGGACCTAGGGCAGTGCCTGGAAGTCAGCAATGGCCCCGGAAGTAATAAATGAGCAATGTAGCATGATGTTGGGCCCCTCTTCCTTGCCCTAAAGGGCAGCCAATGTACGTTCTACAAAAGCATCCCCCCTCCCTGGGGGCTCAAGAAGTGCTTCAGTGACCAGGGACTATGGGAGCTGGTCTAAGATGGCTGCACATTTTGCTAACACTAAATGACCAGGCATCTGGACACATTATCCCAACACTGCCAGTGCTGTATCAGGGGACTGCAGCTCCACAGAAGTTATCCCGGATCAGCAAGCTAGAACGGACCAGCAATGGCAACCATCCAGATCTGAGATTAGCTGAGGGCGAGTCAGAACACAGCGGGGGCTCAGTGTTCTGGATACCTGTGGACTCTCACCAGCCAGATCAAAGTGCGAAAAAAGGCCTCCCTAGCCAACAAGATCTCTCTTTATGCAAAGAACCTCCTAAGGATGTGTTAAATAGGAGCAATGTTTGTCTGATTTATTTCAAGTCTGCCATTACCGAAATGAGTTGGAGTGACTAAGAAAGGAACTGTGGCCTTAGGCTCTGAGTGAATTGGCTCACGCAGAATGATTAATTCAGAAGCCACCACAGATCCCAACCAACCACAAGGGCCCCATGCAGCCATGTGGAACAGAATCTGTCAACAGGAGGCTCACAAGTCAACCAGTCAATCTTGTTCCCTGCAATGTGACTTATCTGGCCTAGGGGGAAGTTAGTGAGAAGAGAGATTCACATTCAAGTAATCACCCCAATAAGTATGTGCTGGATACTGCCATCTCAGGAGCTCATGGCTAGTGTGGATTCAGACAATGACACAGGTACATAACTAGAATTCTACTAGACCTTGACAAGGACCCTGCCATAGTACTACAGGTCCATAAAGAAGCAGTTCCAAGCACAGGAGCATCCTCCAAAAGGCTCTTCATTGAATATTCTACGTTGGGCAAGCTACTTCCTCTCTGTGCCCCCTAATCTAGGCCCAGGCACCACTCAGGAGGTACCCCTCCCCTCCCAAGACCAAGAATGCTAGATTGGGTAGGGGTAAGGGTAGGCAGAGAGAAATGAAAAATAAAGACATCCAGAGAAAAGGAAAAGGCCTGACCTGGACATCTGATGGTTTTTCCTGTTGGCATCCATTCTTCCCTTGTCTGGTACTGTCACCTCCCCTCCAATACCACCACCAGCCCCAACTCTCAGTCCACATGGGTATGTGCCCCAGGCCTATCCGATCAGTGTATTCTGTCTTCCTAGCCACAATGATTCCTTGAGGCTAGATACCTCCCTGTTTTGGATCAATGACAGCCAGGTCCAGGGGTTTTGACAGGAAGAGGAGCGCTTTCTACCCATACCAAGCTATGGGGTCACTCAGGTAGCCTGAGGAGGAAGTCAATCCAAAGGAAAGCAGCATTGAGAGCTGAGGAGACGGGGCCCTGACCATGCTGTTGTGAGTTCTAGGATCCAGTCTGACACCCAATCTAACCCTGACCTTATAAGCTAATGAGCCATTAACTCCCCCTGTCCTAAGCCAACTGGAAAAAGTCCCAACCAAAGGCTCTCCCACTGCCCGCTCTACTGGGAGTATTCAGAAGACAAAATACTTTTTCCTCTGGGATGATGAAGGTAACTGTCTGATGACAGGTTGTCCCCAGGGAAGCACCTCCGTGGAGACAGAGTCCAGCTGGCCTTTCCCAGTACACACACAACCATCAACACACTTTCAAACAGTACCAGTCCATGTGACTGATTTTGCAGTAGTTGGTGTTTTGGTCTCCTCAGCACCTTGTTTTGTTAGTGGGCTTTGCTATTTCTCCACCATGAAGGGATGAAGGAAAGGTCATGACCCAGATCAGATTTATTATAGTGCTGTGCACCCTTGGCCTCAGGGAGTGATCAAAGAGGGCATGGGACTCACAATAAACCACTGAGAATCTTTCTCTTGGATTTTCCGAATTAGAACTGGAGGGAAAAAACTATTATTTCAGGGTCATTGAGCTGAGAGGACGTCAATCTGGAGATGTCAGCTGCCACCTGCAGTCGGAGAGAAGGAAGCCAAGACACAGCTGGGAGAGCTTGCTTTGTCTCACTATGGCCTGTGTTGCTGCCCAGCTGGAGACTAAATTTACAATCGCCCTTATTGCTGGTAGAGCCCAGCCACCAACCTACCCTGAAGTACTTGCCTATCCCTGCACTGTTAGGTGAGAGAAATGACCTTCAAGCTTGTTTGACCCACTGTATTTTGATGATCTGTTCCAGGAGCCCCATCTGTTCCTTTATTAATGTGAAGATGAAAAAGATATAAAAACAAACTGTCTTGATGGGGCTTAAATCTCAGAATACCACTGACCCTTCAATGATGATGTTATTACTTACTTCTAAGTGCCAGGAACTCTCCTTAATTTTTACATAGAACACCTCATTTCATCTGTACCAACTCTAGAAGGAGCCACTGGAATTCCCATTGTACAGCTCAGACACTGAGTAACTTGCCCAAGGTTCATATCTCATTGCCTCCCAAGCAAGTTTTTTCCATAATTTGTTGCGTAAGCCAATAAAATCCCTTTCTTGCTTAAATTGATTCAAGCTAGATTCCTGACACTTGTAACAGAAAGTGGTTTTAATTGGATTTTTATTTCAACTAGTTTGTACATTCCTCTATGGAGTGCCAATCGTATGGTACAGAATTTTCAGACACTATTAATGACTGAAAGCAAGATAACTCTCCTAAGACACCTGCTCGCATTTACAATAACTACTCAGACCACAGGTGTAGCTACAAGAGAGCAGGACACAAGGCCAGGAGACGACCTTCTCAGAGGAGACACTAGGCTTCTTGCCTGTGGCAGACATCATCAGGTGGTTCACCCCAAACCCTTTCCCAATCCCCTTCTCTTGTCTGCCTGAAAAACAAAATACTAATTTTCTCAGCTTTCTGTACAGCCAGATGGCACATTCTGGGGCAATGAAAGATGTAACTGGGAAGGATTCCAGCACAGTAACTGAAAGCATGGACTATAAGAGACAGAATGCCTAGGCTCACTATTGCATGAGCTGCATACATTTGGGCACTGACTTAACCTCTGTTCCCAGAGAAAAGGTGCACCGACCTCATGGTGGATGTAGAGATTAGATGAATTAACAAATGTAAAAGAACTCAGTAGAGTACCTGGTATGTGGTAAACACTCTGTGTCAGCAATTGCTATTTTAATCACCAGTGTGTGCCAATATGGAGCAACTTTTAAAGTAGATTGTTGATTCAAAGCAGTTAGGTGCAGAACAGCTCAGCTCATGTTTGATCACATTTGTATGATCATGGAGGAGCCGGTGTGTGCACATATACTAGTACACACCTGCTTGTGCATATACAGGTTGCCTCTGCCAGGAGAGACCAAAACCTGCCCAGAGTGGTAGCCTCTGGGATACTGGAGTGAGAAGACCTACTTCATTACCTGGCCCTTCTTTCCTAACTGGGCTGGACTTCTGGAATCATATACTTAAAGATTTTTAAACTATTTTTGTTTTAAGAGACTCAACCCCCTTCCCACTTTCTCTTAGTTTGCATTGTTCCCCAACAAAATGGGCAGTCAAGAAATTATGGCAATTATATTTCAACTAGAGGCCCAGCGTGTGAAATTGCATGAGACCCAGAGCCGCCCTGCATGAGCCCTGCCAACTGCGAGGTGCTCCATGCACCTTCTGGTGAACGGTTGTTTGGTCGTTAAGCCATTACGGCATCACGACCATAGGCCTTTTATAATATATATAAAGCCAGAAAAAATTACAAAAGAAAATGGAAAGTTAGTTGCATAAAATGGTAAGCTATCCAAACACAGGTGGGATGGAAATCTGTTGGACATGTCCTGGAAGATTTCTCTAGTGAGCAACAGGCTGTATTCTGCCAAATCTAAGATGCACCTTTTTGTGGCACAAAGGGAGAAGGGAGCTGGAGGAGAGGTCAGGGTATGACTAAAAAAAAAAAAAATTGCAATTATCACAGGCGACTGGTACAACAGGAAGCACAGAAGGTGTGCTCCTTGGGCAAGCTTGTCCCTTCTGAAGAGCCTGGGCTCTGGAACCAGACGGGCAGTGCTGTGGCTCCTGGGTCAGCCACTCCTTGTATTGGACCAAGTTACCTAATAGTCTCATCTGTAAAGTGAGAACAAGGTCATAAAGTGCTCGAAGAATAGAGGTAGCCATTGCTGGAGGGCAAGAGTGATCACCTTCAAATGAGTTGTTTGCTTGTCAATCTTTTAATGTACAAACATAAAAAAAGACAAAGCAGAAAGCAGTTTTACATTGAATGAGTAAAGATAATTACATACAGCTGCCAACCCCACAGCTGGATACTGAATCTCTACAGCTCCTGCTAGATCTTAACTCCAAGGCTGAATCGTCCCAGCCTCCTCACGGAAGCAGAGCATTAAGCAAGGCCAACATCCCAGCCTTCACTTCTAATCCTCCTTCTAAACCAAGAGGTCAGAGCAGAACCAGGGAGTGTTGCACTATTACCCAGAAGACAATATGAATGGCACTGGCGACTTCCCTGACTGCTCGGGAGTCTGCCACAGAGTGACTTAAGAGGCTCCTGTGTATACAGGTATTTTGGTCTGAATTGTAAGGTTTACAGCAAATACAGGATGGGTCAAATAGTTCTAGGCCAGGGAACAATTGTCACAAATGTCAGGTCTTCAGTGAAATAAGACATACTGCTGTCCCCAAATAACCTGAGGCAAGGAGTGGCTGCCTGACCAGTCCATCCACATGGGAGACTCAAACCTGGGACTTCGCAAAACCAAATCTAGGTACTGAGGGTCCTCCTTCTAGTGAAAGCCAATGGCCCTGCCATAGAATGCTTGAAAGTCTTTTCTTAGTCACCCTTGGTTAAAATGACAGTTCAGGCCCCAGCTGGTGTGGCTCAGTGGATAGAGCATCGGCCTGTGGACTGAAGGGTCCCGGGTTCGATTCCAGTCAAGGGCACATGCCTGGTTGTGGGCTCCATCCCCGTGGGGGGCGTGCAGGAGGCAGCCGATTAAAGATTGATGTTCCTATCTCTCTCTTCTTCTCCCTTCCTATTTGAAATCAATTTAAGAAAATTTTAAATGACAGTTCAGGTTATTTGGGAAAGAAATATTAACTACCCTTCCTTTCATGTTTCAGTAGCCAACAGGAATCCGGGCCCTGAAAACCCACAAACACTTTTTCTCCACAATTATGAGCAATTGCAGCAACTGGCCAAATGTGCTAGCAACAGGAAAGCTGAGAGCGAACCATGTGAGTGGGTCTCATGGTGGGGAACTCATGGCCACAAGCAGCACACTGGCTTCATGACTGCCATGCTGGACAGAGTGCCCTGCTCTGCAGCAGGTCTCAGCAGCAGCCAGCCATCCACATGACCAAGAGTGGGAGTGCTACGAACAGACGACTCTGTGTCCCACAGATAACGGTATGAAGTGAGTGTTAATAGGTTTGGTTTAAGCAGAACTTTTGGAGACAACGCCTCCAGATGGTCTATTATTAAAGTCTTAAGAGCTCAGAGCCGAGGATGATTGAGAAATTCAGAAGAATTAAACAAAAAACCCAACAACAAATAAGAAGGGGTAGAAAGTGTGAAAGACTAAGAGCTCATGGTAGATGCTGACTGGCTCACTATGTCCCCAAGTTCATCTTAGAGCTCAAGTGAATTCTACACGTGAGACAGAGACATTAGACCTGAGTCAAGGGCAAAAACTTCTGGTAGTAGCTCTTGGTGACATCGATCATCAGCTCCTGGGTACATTCGGGAAGCTCCCCGGAGAAGAGTCCTGGGGAAAGAAAGACCTGGTCAAGCATGGGGAGCCAGGGAGGCCTGCGGCAAAGTGCCGTTAAACCCTAGAGAGCCTTTCTTTAGTCAAAATTCTAGGTTTTCCATCTTTGGTGCTAACAGAATACTTCCACTGACCACCTTCTGGACGATAAGAATGTTTATGTGTGGGGAAATAAATAACCCTGCTCTCAAAATGGAGAAATCTATTCCAAGTAAAAGAGCTTAGCACATTATTGCATGATCTGAAGTTGAGGCATCTGTGACTACATCAGGGGTTGTTCCAGACATGGATAGGTCCATCTTTGAATTCTGGTGTGACACCTCCTGGGCAAGTCAGGGTGCGCACTCTTAAGGTAAGAAACTGCCCTGCTATTCATACATGGAATGAATCCAACATGCACCAGACAAAGAATGGGTCAGAGTAGGACAGAAATGTGCTATATACAGGGAGAGAAAAGATGGGCCTTAGATTGAAGGATATGCAGGAAAGAGGTATTTTCCTACACTAAGGCTGGAAGTGTAAACTCATACGGCCATTTTGAGTAATTAAGGAATAGCTAGCAAAACTTTTAGAAGTTCATACCCTGTGATCTGACAATCTCAACTTCAAGTATTTTTTCCACAGATAATCTTGCCCAATTGCACAAGGTAAATAAAAGCATCAATGCCAAAACCGGTTTGGCTCAGTGGATAGAGCGTCAGCCTGAGGACTAAAAGGTCCCAGGTTCAATTTCCGGTCAAGGGTATGTATTGTACCTTGGTTGCGGGCACATCTCCATTGGGGGTTGTGCAGGAGGCAACTGATCAATGTTTCTCTCTAATTGATGTTTCTAACTCTCTAACTCTCCCTTCCCCTCTGTAAAAAATCAGTAAAATATATATTTTAAAAAACAAATAAATAAAATAAATAAATAAAAGCATCAATGCAGTTTCTAATCATAAAAACCCAGGTACTATACAACTTCTAATGACCCCTTATACAGGGCACAGACTAATTATGCTGGGGTATATTTATGCATTCAGAGGAATGAGGTGTGCCCTGGACAGTGTGGCTCAGTTGGTTGGGAGTTGTCCTATGCACTGAAAGGTTGCTGGTTCAATTTCCAGTCAGGGCACACGCCGAGAATATCTACACACTGACAAGAAAAAAATATCCAAAATGTACTGTTAAGGAAGCAACTTTCCACACAGAATAGAGTATGATTTTGTTTATATAAACATAAAGTTTCATATATTCATATTATATACCCATATACCTATACACTCATATACAATACATACAAACACATACATATGCACTTTTATTTTATTTTTCTAAATATATTTTATTGATTTTTCACAGAGAGGAAGAGAGAGGGATAGAGAGTTAGAAACATCGATGAGAGAGAATCATCGATCAGCTGCCTCTTGCACACCCCCTACTGGGGATGTGCCCGCAACCAAGGTACATGCCCTTTGACCGGAATCGAACCTGGGACCTTTCAGTCCGCAGGCTGACGCTCTATCCACTGAGCCAAACCGGTTTTGGCTGACTTTTATATATATATACACACAGTGAAAGAAAATAACAGGTAGAAGTAGTGGTCTAAAGAAATAACACAATTTGGGGGGCGGGGAAACAACTGATAATTCAGGCACCTTTTACAAATAAGCAGCCCATGTTAGATTTGAAAATTCGTTTGGTCTGCACAGTATTTAATCTTTCTTAAAAATTAGTAGCCAAGCCCTAGCTGGTTTGGCTCAGTGGAAAGCATCTACTTGAGGACTAAAGGATCCCAGGTTCGATTCTGTTCAAGGGCACATGTCCAGGTTGCAAAGTCGATCCCCAGTGGGAAGAGTACAAGAAGCAGCCAATCAATGATTCTCTCTCATTGATGTTTCCATCTCTCTCTCCTTCTTCCTTCCTCTCTAAAATTAGTAACAATATATTTTTAAAAAATTAATAGCCAACATATAATTCAGAGATATCACGTAAACATTCAGATTTTTAGCTCCTCGTGATATTTAAGATCTCATAATCTCTCTCTCTCCCTCCCTCAATCTTTAAAGAAAAGTGCATTGCTAGAGAAATCTCTTAATCTCTTTTAACTTATTAAAGGTTCTTAGAACCAACTTATGGCTAACAGCAGAAGTCAGGGAAGCACTGCTAAATATTTCAAATCCAAAGAAACACTGTGTTTGGTGCTTCTGATGAAGGATCTAAGGTGCCTGGGTCCTTAGTGGTCATTGTATAAATCAGGAAACTGAGGCCTAGAGAGGGTGGGTTGTTCAAGGTGTGAGAGCTGGTTAATGAAGAAGTCTTGATGTGCACTTTGAGCCCTTATTTAGAGTTTAGTACTTTCTGCACTGTAATAAGATACTTCCCATGTTCATTTTATGTAGTTTCACAACAAATGCTAGCCATCTAAATGCTTCTGTTGGCAATCTCTATCTATACTAGTAAAAGGATACTATGCTGCCGAAGCCGGTTTGGCTCAGTGTCGGTCTGCGGACTGAAAGGTCCCGGGTTCAATTCTGGTCAAGGCATGTACATTGGTTGCGGGCACATCCCCGGTGGGGTGTGTGCAAAAGGCAGCTGGTCGATGTTTCTCTCTCATAAACGTTTCTAGCTCTCTCTCTCCCTTCCTTTGTGTAAAAAAATATTAAATATATATAAAGGATACTATGCTAATTAGACCAGGAGACCTTCTGGATGTCCTTCCGGACAAAGTCATGGTGGTGGGGCCGAGGCAAAGGCAGTTAGGGGTGAGCAGGCTGGTTGGGGGGGGGGAGTAGTTAGGGGGGCAATTGGGTGTGAGCAGGCCAGCAGGGGGTGGAGGGGGGTAGAAGGGAGAGGGGCCGTTGGGAACAATCAGGCCGGCAGGTACAGTGGTTAGGGGCCATCAGGCAGATGAGGAGTTAGGAGTCAGTGGTCCCATATTACAAGTTGGACATCCCCTGGGGGGTCCCAGATTGGAGAGGGTGCAGGCTGGGCTGAGGAACAAATTTGTGCACCGGGCCACTAGTCTTTAATAAGAGGCACAGGGTTTCAGGAAAACTGGCATTTGTGTTCATAACCACCTATGTTGGGCTATTACACTTGACCTGATAATGATGGGCTATTACTTAAATAATTTGCATAATCTGCCTGGCCTGGGGTCCTCTGAGTTTTTGGCTCCTGGTCCAGATTCTTTCTGTATGATTTGCCTCTCAATTTGTTCCATGACTCAGTTTCATGGTGTGGAGCCCTCAATGATCTCTGTCATCAGCCCTAAGTTGATCAAAGGACCTTCAATAAGTTAAAAGACATTAGGAGATTTCTCTAGCAATGAACTTACTTTTTTTTCTTTTTTAAGAGAGAGGAAGGGCAGGAGACAGGGGGTGAGGAAGAGAGAAGAGAAAAGAAAAGAAATAAAATATCAGTGTGATAGAGAAACACTGATCAGTTGCCTCTTGTACATGCCCAGAATGGAGACTGAACCCACAACCTAGGTATGTTCCCTGTCTAGGAATCAAACCCACAACCTTTTTGTGTATGGGACAACACTCCAACCAACTGAGCCACCCAGCCAGGGCACAATGCACTTCTCACCTCAAATGAGGTGTTTATCTGACAATCTGACCTAGCACTAGCTGAGAACAATTAGACATTTTCTCAGTGGAATGTCATATGAGGAGAATTACTAAATTAGTCTCTTCTTCCTCTGCAAAAGCAGAGATGCATGAAATAACAGAATGGCCAATTTCCACCCCAAAGAATTTGGGTGGACGATATTGTCCATCTTTGAAACTCTTATTCAGTTATCTGAGTAATGAGACTGTTTAAACTGGAAAAACAATTAAGCCACACAGTAGCAGATATCCATCTATGAATTTGTGATGTGCCTGTGTATACATCACAGAATTTCAATCATGTAAACACGCATACTAAGAAATAACTTTCTCCCTGGCCAGTTTGACTCTGTGGATAGTGTCAGCCTACAGACTGAAGGATCCCGGGTTCAATTCTGTCAAGAGCACATGCCTGGATTGCGGACTCGATCCCCAGTGGTGGGCGTGCTGGAGGCAACCAATCAATGATTCTCTCTCATAATTGATGTTTCTATCTTTCCCTCTTCCTTTCCTTTCTGAAATCAATAAATAATATGTATTTATTTTTAAAAAGGAAATGATGCTTAAAGTGGGGGAAATATGAGGTTCCATGTTCCTTTGATTTCAGTGTTTCCCAAGCTTTTTACGATAAGCATGTATTACTTGTTTCCTCACATGCTGTGTAATCAGGAACTCTTAGCTCATGAGGGGTTTTACCTAAGAGCATTCTGTCAGCCAAGGTCAAGAGGTGATAATTTACTTCTCTCAGCTGTCCTAGAGTTGCCATTGGTATTAGACCACGCTATACGTTAACTTTTCAATTTGGACATTTCTGGGCAGGGCAGGAAGTATAAGTTCAAATCACCAACCAATGTGCGCAGAAGGCCGTAGTTGGAATTCTCTGGAGACTTCCTTTTCCCATCTAGCCACCCACGCCAAGAGACGTGTCTCTCTCTGCTCTTCCTGAGCTGGTGGCACTCGTGTTCTATGTCAGCTTTTATTGAGGGACACCCTCCAAGAGGCCCTCTGCCATGTGTGGGCACAAGGCTCTCTGTCTTCCCCACACAGTATCACTCCCTCAGCCACTCCTTTCTGAAGACAGCGTCAACTGAAGCGTGCTTCCAGGGTCCACTTCGTTTCCTCTTTATTCTGACTCGTGAGAATGTCTTACCCAACTATGCATTTAAAAGGATACCTGGCATATTGTAAGCAGCATTCTCACATACTTTGTAGCAGAAGAATTTTTAAGTCAGCTAGACTACCATGCTATCAGAGACAGAAACTGCCTGCATTGCTTTTGTGAAAGAAAAGAAACGAGTTTTCATAATCAGTACCGACGGTTACCTGGGCAGCCTGAGAAGACGGTGAATGGTGGGACCACTGTTTCTGGAGGTAGTACTGTGTTGTCAAGAATTTTGCAGCAGTCTTTCAACACACACCGGCGCCCCTAAAATTACAATATTATTAACAGGAAATAGATCAAGAAATAAGAAAAAACATGGATGGCTATTTTATATTTTCTCATCTGTGATATCTTACAATAGCGAGGGATAGTGACAAGAGGCTTGGCCACAATTCTCCGCTTCAGATGGTACCTGACAAGCAGGAGGAGGTAGGAATATGTGTGCAAGTGTGCGTGTGAGTGTGTGTGTGGCGAGGGTGCACATTTCAGGTGGAGGTTATATGCTGGGGACGTCCAGGTTATCTTAAGCATTATAGACTATATGCCATTCACTCTTCTAAGGGTTCTGTTTAATTTTCTTCTCTTTATTTAATTTAGTGGACATATGTTTTGCTTGCTCAACATCAGTTCCCTTTTCCTCTGGTAACAGAACCTTGTGTTTCTGTTGGGAACCAGCCCTATGCCCAGCTCAGCCCATGTGCTTCCATTTCCATCCCACACTCTAAACGCCAAGCTGACCACAGAGACTGTCTAAAGCAGCGGTTGCCAAATTTTCGAACCTCATGGACCACTGGTTGGCCATCACTGGTCTAGAGCCGTGGTCGGCAAACTGTGGCTCGCGAGCCACATGCGGCTCTTTGGCCCCTTGAGTGTAGCTTTTCCACAAAATACCACGGCCTGGGCGAGTCTATTTTGAAGAAGTGGCGTTAGAAGAAGTTTAAGTTTAAAACTTAATTTGGCTCTTCAAAGAAATTCCAATCGTTGTACTGTTGCTATTTGGCTCTGTTGACTAATGAGTTTGCTGACCACTGGCCTAGAGATTGGAATGTGAGCCAAAAACCAGTCTGATGAATCTCAAAATCAGGGATTCTTCCGGGAACACTGGGGGAAAAAGCTCTTCTCAACGAAGTTTCTAAAGGATGGGACAGAAACAGGAGCGCTATCTTGTTTCCATGAGGAAAGACCCAGCCTGAAATGCTCATACAAAAAAGCAGAAAGGAAAAGGAGGCTGATTCTCACTTCTTCATTCGAAGCCCTAGAGCCACTTATGCAGGAAATTAGAATCCACTTCTACACTAATGACTCGTATTAGTCCATTCATCTGTTTGAAGGTGTAGTCTGAGCCTTCTGTCTGACTTTATCCACTGCTACCCATTTCCACTGCCATCACCACGGCATTCTGAGGGGAAGAGAGGACGTCTGGAGAGCCATCTGTACCCTGGGTTAAGGGGAAGGAGAGGCCTGAAAACAGTTCAGAGGTGCGCCTCAGGCTACTTGCACCAACTTACATTTACATCACCAGTTTCACTGTGTGAATTACCAAAGAATTTTACCAAAGAATATGAAAGATACTTTCATTTGGTTGTGACCAAAATTTCCCCATTATTAAATATCCAACTATACCCAAATAGGATGCATTTCCAGGAATTAAAAGACAGATTAATACAATAGATAGATTGCCAGATGAATTTTTTTTTTTTTTTTTTACCTCTAAAGCACTTATATTTCTAAGGTCCGATTTCTCAAGTGTCTACTAAGTTGTCTCTAGCTGGGTGGACAATAGCTTGGCAATACTTGGCAATAACTTTAGCTCAGAAGCAAGTCATTCCTGCAGCTATTCATCCTCCTTGCAAAGTTCTCTTCCATGAATTCCCTGATATTGGCAATTTCAAAAATCCAGCTGGTGACCAGCTTCCTCATAATTTCCAAATGACTCAAAGATGGTATCTTAGCTCCTAATAACTCAGACTAAGCACATGGAGCCCTGAATGACAGGAAAGAGAACGTGCTATGTAAGGCACAATACATTCACATACAGAGATCTGTGCACAGTGGGCCCTGACAAAGTGGCTCAGTGGATAGAGCATGGGCCTGCTGCAGACTAAAGGGTTCTGGGTTCGGTTATGATCAAGGGCACATGTATGGGTGTGGGCTTGACACCCAGTAAGGGGCATGTTTTTATCTCTCCCCCTCTCTTCCTCCCTGAAATCAATAATATATATATATATAGTGAGAGAGAGAAAGAGAGAGAAAGAGAGAGAGAGAGAGATAACAAAACAAAACAAGAGGAAGAAAAGGACAGGAATCTTCTCACTGTGTATTACCAGCCTGCTTTGTCCACTAACTGACCATTCTGCCCACTCAGAGAATGATGTTAATTTTAGTTTCAGAGCTTTCTGGGTAAAGACATCAATTAGATATCAGTAAAATAAAAAAATGTAGGTACTTCTAAGGCATAATGAATTGGTAATAGTAGAGAAAGTTAACAGCTAAAACTACTTCTTTTTCTTTCCTGGAGAATTTTCCTGAAGGAGGTCAAGAAGTGCATGTTGCTAGCATTAAGCTACCTATCTCTCCTGATGCAAGTTATTCATCATCTCTGAGCCCTAGTGTCATCTGTGAAACAGGACATAAAACCAACCTGCAGGGATGCTGTCAGGATCAGAGTGGTAAATGCGTAACTCACAGCACAACAGCGCCTATTAATACTGCCTGTTGGACTTTTCCCACTGGCAACTGGGCAATTCTGATTAATACCTAAAACTTCACATATTCAAACAGTCAAGTCTACCACGTGGATGCTATAGGGAGGACAGTGTGTCATGAGGCACGCCAGACTCTTTGAAAAGATACTTATATTACTTGAGAATCTGTAAGGTTCAGCAAATGAGGACAGAACTACCACTACTGAACAATGACTATGACATGACAGTCAACTGATACATTGAAAAGTGACCCAAGAAGCAGAGCACCTGACAATGGGACTAGACTTTCCGGGCCTGGGAATAGCATCTGGCTATGACCTTTCAAATGTCTGCTGCAGGGCTAAAGGACAGGGCTGAAGGCCTAAGCTGCTACGCTGAGGTCTTCTTGGCCACAGAACATACCAGAAAAACCCAGCTGTGGCTTGGAAAGCCAGCTTGTCAATGGGATGAGGGACAGGCTGGATTCCACTATCTCCCCCTTCCTTCCACGGCAGGCCAAGACAAAGGCTTTCTGCCTCTAACACTAAGCACTCTGGAGGAGCATACCTGGCAAAGCAACCTCCTCCCTTTATTCTGAGTAACAAGTCAGGTTGGAATGGTCCTCGCAGCAAGGTGTTCTGCCCTGCACGGTGCCTGTGGCTCCTGGGACGTTAGCTGCACAGCTGCTACAAGTTTTCTGATACTCCAGCATCAGAGTCTCATCCAGAGCAGAGAGCCAGCTCTGTGTTATTAGGAGCAGCCATGAAAAAAATATTGGTTTTTCCTAGAATATGGTCTGAAGTACAAGTTTAAAGTGAAGGAAACATTTTCCCTATACAGAGTTTGGCTCTGATCATTAACATTCTTATAAATCCTGCCTGAAATCAAGCTCCTCATCTGTGAAACGCCAAGAAGCCCAGCCTTGTGAAGCCTGAATGGACCAAACCAACTGACACCAAGTCTCCTGGGACCAGATCCTCCAGGTTCTGCTGAGCAAGGTGCCCCCATGCACCCTGCATGCCCATCACCCTCAGCTCCCTACAGTTCCCCTGAAGTCAAGTCCTGTGGTGACTCTGAGCCTTCTCATGCCAGCCTCTTAACCGAAATGCCCATCCTCCCCTCAGATATGAGCCAGTTTTACCTCACCCTTCACTCACCCCTCACCCCACCAGACAGTAAGCTCCCTGAGGTAAGGCAACAGGTAGGACATATAATAGCATGACCATTCATACTACCTGGATTCAAATCCCAGCTCTACTTAATAGCCTCATCACTCCTATAGTATTTAAGATCTTCAGTCTTTGCATCTGCAAACAGGAACAACAAAAGCAACTACAACCCTCTTGGATGATTGTGAGGAGTAAGTGAAAAAATTAAAGGAAAGTGTTTAGCATCACAGGGAAGAGGTTCAATAAAGATCAGCCATGATCATGAATGCCTAGGAAAAAGCTCCAAACGAAATAATAATGCCAGCGGACCAGAAGCTACTTCTGCCATGTCTGGTCACAGAAGCAGAGGCCCACTGAGGGGAGGGACAGGAGCTGGAGGACAGTGAGGCTGCTTAGTTACCAAGTCACCATACTCACAATCACACAATTCTTGCCAACATGAACGTAAGAGCCAATCTGAGCTGCGTTGACCACACAATCTTCCTCAATAAAAACATGGTCCCCAATATGTAAAGGGAAGAATGCAACCCTATAGAAAAAAAAGACAAACAAAGGTCAAGGTGATGCATTTCTGGTCAAGGCTTATAAAATATAGATCCTAATCTCAAGTTCATCATCTTGTCTTATTAAAACTGTTTCTAGTAAGGAAGGAATCTTCAGACTAGAGAAATTCTATAATTTCCCCAGTATTTTGTCAGAGATGGCAAATTTATATTTCAAACTTTATATCATTATACTCTATAAATTTTCCCACTAGTTCAATATCAGAAATATTAGCAAGGAAACAGCAAGGCAGAAGGGGCAAGATATTCTAAGCTAAAGGCACTGGCACCAAATAAAAATGAGTGCCTGTGTGCTCTCATTCCTGCTTCCTTTGAAAATGCTCACAGATCACATTTTTAATAATCCTATATAAGAGCTAATATGCTAATTAGTCCGAACAGTCGAATGACCTTCCAGACATTCTTCCCGATGAAGTTGGGTCTGGGAGGGCCAGCTATGGCTGTGAGGAGCTGTGAGGGGTGAGCCCCTTGCACGAATTTCATGCATCGGTCCTCTAGTCAGCTCTATAATACGCCAGGGGCTGACATCAGGTTTGTGGGATATAAATGCTAGCACACAACAATCTGAAAATGGATATATTCCTTCATTTTGCTGAGTGCCTACTACAATATATATCAGACTCTATGCTAGGAATTGGGGATATAATAGCAAAGATAAACAATGCAACCGTGCCCACAAGGTGCTTACAATAGAGAGAACAAAATTAAATAAGTGATTAGATAGCAAGTAGTTAGTTAGTTAGTTAGTTAGTACTGAGGAAATGCTACAGAGGAAAACTACTATGTCATGTGAGAATATAACAAGGAATGGAGGTTTGGTAAAAGCTTAATTGAAAGTGACATATATAAACCAGGACTTGGACAGGATTAGGTGTCAGTAGGCTTTCTGAGAGCTTCTAACATTGCTCTCATTCTCCCAGTTTCCTAAAGTGTCATGGACAGTGGTTTTGTGATCATATTTACAAGTAATTTCAGTAACTTAGGATGGAAAACATTTGGACTGAATGAACATAAAGTAGGTGGATGCTCCTTGCCTCTTTCCAGCCCTGGGTTCTATTCTGTCAGGATTATTTTGTCAGAGATGGCAAATTTATACATATACATATATACATAATATACATATACAAATACATATACACACACACACATATACACACACACATACACACACACATACACACACATATATAGACATATACTGAGTGTCCAGATTATGATGATCTCTGAACGCAGCGTAGACTGACCAGAGTTGGGATTTTAAAATAAGTTTTTCCATGTATAAGAACTGCATAATGGGTAGTTAGAAAGCAGAGGGCTTACTAGCCAAAGGCTGGGGACCACTATCTCCTGGTCCCTTGATATTTCAGGATTTGCAAGCTTTCCCTTATACATAAGTACAGTGAGTGGCCAGATTATTATGCGTTCAGAGATCATAATCATCTGGGCCACTCTGTGTGTGTGTGTGTGTGTGTGTGTGTGTTTATATTTATTGTATATTTAGAAAACTATGTCAAATGTAAATACTCTTTAAATTTTCCTGAATTCACATTTTTAGCCTGTACACCTTATGTGGCAATGAAGTCCCTGAATTCATCATAGTCTACAGCAGTACCATTAAGTTAAAAATTCCAAACTTTGTACCATTATCAGATTCTGGGACATGCATATATGTGGGATAAAATCCCTATCACCTCCTGTTCAGGTATTGTTGCTATTTATAATTTCATATTTCTAAATTTCTCATGTGGACCATTCTTATTTACACATCCCTTCACTCGTCAACAAACCCCTACAATATGCCAGACTCTATTCGAGGAGTTGGGGATACAATGGCAAGGATAAGCAATGCAATGTTCATTCTCGACGCTTTTCTTGGGCCATACCTAGCCCAATAATGCTTCAGCAGAAAGTGGAGTCAACACCTCTAGCAGAGTATCGGTCACTACACAAAATTACAAAAGGGAATCTACCACAAGGTTTTCTGGTTTCCCCCAATAGCCTTCTGAGCTAATGAGTGAATAATTTCCTGTGAATGCTTTAGCATGACTCCCTACTCCAATCCCCATATATCATGGAAAGCCTGGAGCCCAACATCATTAGGCGAGATGCAGGATTATCCCTGGTAAAAGCATGGTTCACTCCTAGCTATTAAAGTTAGTCTGAGTTAGCTGCTCTCTTCTCCGTCCCCACTTTACCTTGTTCAGACCCATGTGCCAGGACTATCACATCACATAGTGGTGATCACATTACACAGTAGCTATGTGTTTATGTAAATACTGGTGTCCTTGTGCACGGATTCATACCCTTTGAGAGGAAATTAATTAGAAGAAATGTTTTACTATTGCTATTCACCCTTACTCTATAAATAACAACACAAAGCAGATTATTATTATAAATCACACAGGAAGAACAAATGGTAAAATATTTAACCGTGGCAGTGTATTACTATATTCTGTGGAGTGAGAAAACCTGAATGCATTTTCAAGTTCTACCATTTCTTACTTCTTTTCAATCGGGTCAAGTTTCTAAACTTCCTAAATCTCCATTTTCCAGCTAATGAAAATAGGATTCTACTGAGTCTCCTATCTACCTACTCCAGGACTTCTGTGAGGATCAAATGAGATGAGGCATGTGAAAATGCTTCACAGACATCTGGTTAAAGTGTAAATGTTTGCACCTGGCTATAAAGCAAGTCGTGTTCCTGGACTGAAGAAATTCCAAGGAGGCTAGCTGCTAGGAAGAGGAAGCCATATGATGTCATTACCCGGCGCCCACAGCAACTGTTTCCAGGCTGGACTGGGCTGTGAGCCACATTTTGTGCCATGGGGTCTTGACATTGTTGGCTGCGATTTGGTGGGGTGTTGCTCCCAGGTGGTGGCAAGGCCTGTGTCCCACTTGGAGGAAGCCGAGTGTTGGTTTGTCAGCAACAGGTTAATGGTGCCGTGTATTTTTAAGTGGCCAATGCACGTCATGGCAGCTTCTGTATTGAGGGTCTGCCCCCTGGTGGTCAGTGCGCATCATAGCTACTGGCCGGACAATGGATACTTAGTGTTTTATATATATAGATTTCTACCACTAGGTTTGAAGAAGCTTGAGGTAGGCCCGGGCCAGGTAGCTTAGTTGGTTAGAGCATCATCCTGATATGCCAAGATTATGGGTTCAATCCCTAGTCAGGGCATATACAAGAATCAACCAGTGAATGCATAACTACTGGAACAAATCAATATTACTCTCTCTTCACCTCTCTCTCTAAACACACACACACACACACACACACACACACACACACACAACCTTGAGGCAGGAATGCTATTTTATCCATCTTTATATGCCCTGCTTATAACCTAGCGACTGGCATAAGGGAGTATTCAATAAATGCTTGTTGAATTACTAGATGGAATGGAGATGGTGTCACATGTAGGAACCAGGCGAGTAAATTAGTTAAGGAGAAGGGAAACAAAGAGAATACCACCATGTAGGTAGAGTGGCCAGTTTTCCTGTCTGCCCATGGCCTTTCTTGGACACTCCTTATTCCCACTGTGAGATCAGTGGGCATGACTTGACCTGCCCTCGGGTCACAGCTATTAGACGAGGGGTGAACATTTAACTCATGCTGAGCCAATCAATTCCCTCTCCCATGAATTTTAAATAAGACCTAAGATCTCTAGTTGGTATCTGCTGGAAGTCTAAAAGGAGAAATGATATAAATAAGGGGCTGCAGTAGCAAGGTCAGCTCCAGTAGGAGAGGGGAAAGACAATTCGAGAAAGAGGAGAGGAAAACAGAAGTGCAGAGAGGACAGATAAATACAAAGGGTCATTTTGGAGACAGAGATACTAGATACACAGAATAGTTGTCTTGATTCTGGCAAGGTGACTACTTTGGGGTTCTAGCGCGTCTTTTTCTACCCCGAGGTTCCATCAAATATGCCTGTGTCTGTTTAATAAGAAACCCCTTTGCTTTTGCCAGCTTACGTGGATTCTGTTTCTGACAACCAACCATCAATTAGATAGGATGACCACCACCAGAATTCTTACTCAGCATCTCCAACAACAGCATAGACCCATTCCTTGCAACACAATCAACACAGGAGAACACCACCATTAGTAGCAGCTTGCCCAAGACTGAAACAAGATAATTAAGTTACATACCCTTTGCTGAATTTCTTGAATGGTGGCCTTATGACACTCCGACTTTTCACAACACAATGACGTCCAACTCTTACATTTGCCAGATCTCCTCGGATAATACAGTCATTCATCACAATGGTCTATAAAATAAAGCACACTTAAAAATTATCAAACAGATGAAAACATAACATAAAAAGGGCAGGTAACAAGACCCTGACTGAGAATTGTGGTATGAGTTATTGCAAGCATGTCAAACTCACGGCACACACCACATCTAAATAATGAATTTGGCCGAAACCGGTTTGGCTCAGTGGTAGAGCGTCGGTCTGCGGACTGAAGGGTCCCAGGTTCGATTCCAGTCAGGGGCATGTACGTTGGTTGCGGGCACATCTCCGGTGGGGGGTGTGCAAGAGGCAGCTGGTCGGTGTTTCTCTCTCATCGACGTTTCTAGCTCTCTATCTCTCTCCCTTCCTCTCTATAAAAAATCAATAAAATATATTTTAAAAAATAATAATAAATAAGTAAATAAATAATGAATTTGGCCATGAGTTTGACACTTAATCTACTGAGTCTAATGTTCTCCTAAAGGTATAACTTGCCAGATTAAGACCTTGTATGGAGTCGAAACTGGTTTGGCTCAGTGGTTAGAGCGTCGGCCTGCAGACTGAAAGGTCCCAGGTTTGATTCCGGTCAAGGGCATGTACCTTGGTTGTGGGCACATCCCCAGTAGTTGTGCAAGAGGCAGCTGATCAATGATTCTCTCTCATCGATGTTTCTAACTCTCTATCCCCCCCCCCCCTTTTTTTTAAAGACCTTGTATAGAGCCTGATTTGAACAGATCAACTGTAAAAAAATATCTTGAAATACTGGAAAGACTAAATGTGGATTGAGAATTTTTTTTTTTAAATATATTTTATTGATTTTTTACAGAGAGGAAGGGAGAGAGATAGAGAGCTAGAAACGTCGATGAAAGAGAGAAACATCGACCAGCTGCCTCTTACACACCCCCTACTGGGGATGTGCCCGCAACCAACGTACATGCCCCTAACCGGAATCGAACCTGGGACCCTTCAGTCCGCAGACCGATGCTCTGCCACTGAGCCAAACCGGTTTCGGCTGGACTGAGAATTAGATGATATCAGGGAATTACTAATTTTTTTAAAACTTGTAAGAGAATTGCCCTCATAACACTGACTGCATAGTTTACTATTAAAGTCCCGTCTCCGTAGACTTTCTGAGCCATGGACAGTGACTTTTATCCGCATTATTATATGTATGCGTTACAAGGGTAAGTTCAGCCCAGTGGGAAATTGAGATATGCCAACAACAGCAATTACAAAAATGTCATGATCAGAAAAGAGGCTTATGTAAATGGAAGTGTGATGGAGAAACTGAAGAGAATTGCTATCGGTGAAATTACCAGAGAGAATGTTGTTGTGGCCTCCCCCAACCATGTGGACTGGCAGGGGCTTGAATTCATTATTGGAAATGATCACAATTCTTTCACATCAATATTGGTCTTGTTGTCCAGCCAGTGTGGCTCAGTGGTTAAGTATTATTAACCTATGAACCAGGAGGTCATGGTTTGATTCCTAGTCAGGGCACATGCCTAGGTTGCAGGTTCGAACCTCTATGGGTGCAGGAGGCAACCAATCAATGATTCTCTCTCATCATTGGTGTTTCTATCCCTTTCTCCTCCCTTCCTCTCCGAAATATATTTAAAAATGTATTTTAAAATATTGGTTTCCTTATTAATGTCAATAAATCTTGGATGTCAAGGATCCAAAAGACTTAAGAGTATTTTATTATCTTGTCCGGGTACTAAAGTGTTTGGTCTTCAGTCTTACTGTATTACACTTCAAGATTGGACTGAGCCAGGACCGGTTTGGCTCAGTGGATAGAGTGTCGACCTGCGGACTGAAAGGTCCTGGGTTCGATTCCGGTCAAGGGCATGTACCTTGGTTGTGGGCACATCCCCTGTGGGGGGTGTGCAAGAGGCAGCTGGTCGATGTTTCTCTCTCATCAACGTTTCTAACTCTCTGTCCCTCTCAATTCCTCTGTGTAAAATCAATAAAATATATTAAAAAAAAAAAAGATTAGACTGAATATTGGTGTGGAAACAAGGGTGGTAAGAGTAGCAGTTTTTAATTATCATTATTAGGAAATTTTTGTGTAGATCAGGCCAATTATTTTTTATAAACTATAAGTGATTCTTTTTTTAATTTAAAAAATATTTTTGTTGATTTCAGAGAGGAAGGGATAGGGAGACATAGAAACATCAATGACCAGAGAGAATCACTGATCGACTGCTCCTGCATGGCCCCTACTGGGAATCAAGCCCTCAACTTGGGCATGTGCTCTGACTGGGAATCAAACCATGATCTCCTGGTTTATAGGTCATGGCTCAACCACTGAGCCATGCCAGTCAGGCAATAAGTGATTGTCTTTAATAAATACATAACAAAATGCAATTTTTATTGTTTTATAAAGATTTGAATGTGTGCAAAAAACCCCCACAACTGCTTGTAGCTGAAGATGTTCCCCTTATATCACAAGCTTTACCCGGAACAGCTTTGACTAGTCCTTCCTGAATGAACAAACTTCATTATTGGGAACACCTGGAGTAGGCCTAGTTTATGCACCTCCTTGGATTGACTCAGACCCACCTGCCCCCACGTCACGGCTGCTTGCTCAACAGGAGTCCTGGCGGCTCCTGACTTTGCCTTATCTGATAACACAACTACCTCCAACTTCATGCTCCCGAGGGGGACTCACTGTGCTTCTGGTACCTCTCCCAATGCCTGGACTCAGATTAAGTGTACTCTGCAGGGTATGGTATCTGCCTTCCCCAGAGATTGCCCAGAGGTTGAATAACACAACCCAGAAATTTGGGGGAAATAATGCCCCATATTTGTTAAAGAGCAGGTATTCTTGAAATGTCTGTTGAATAAATGAATGAGGTAAAAAAAAAAAAAAAAAAAAAAAAAAAAAGTGTATATGGCTGGGATTGCAGCTGGAACAGTAAACAAAGCACCAGATCATGAGGAATTACATATGCTGAGCACAGAACTTGGACTTTTTCCCTAGAGAATATAAGGAATCAATAAAGATATTAGCCAAGGATTGGAACAAGTGAAGGTTCATTTTAGAAATATTACTCTAGAAGAAGTCCAGAATCTGAATGGAGGAGGGAGAACTTTTACTGTAGGGAAAATAGCCCTTTAGATGACTTCAGTGGATGAAGGTAAAAAGAGATAATGATAATTAGTTAATTAGGGAAATATAAATCAAGAACTACAATGAGATATCATTCATACCCACATCCAAAAAATAAAAAATTACAAGTGTTAAGATGTGAAGAAACTGGTACTTTATTGCATTGTGGTGGAAATGTAAAATGGTTCAGCTCTTGTGGAAAATAGTTACAAAGTCACAAAACTAAACAGAATTACCACATGGCCCAGCCAGTGTTGCTCAATGGTTGGGTATCAACTCAGGAACCAAGAGGTCACCAGTTTTTGTTTTAAATATATTGTTATTGATTTCAGAGAGGAAGGAAGAGGGAGAGATAGAAACATCAAGGATGAGAGAATCATTGATCTGCTGCCTCCTGCATGCCCCCTACTGGGAATCAAGCCCACAACCCAGGCATGTGTCCTTGATTAGAATCAAACCCAGGACGCTTCAGTCCACAGGTTGATGTTCTATCAATTGAGCCAAAACAGGTAGGGCGAGCTCACCAATTGGATTCCTTGTCAGAGACATGTCCAGGCTGTGGGCTCATTCCCCAATAGAGGTGTGTGCAGAAGGCAGCCAATCAATGATGCTACTCTTTCATCGATGTTTCTCTCTCTCTATTCTGCTCCTTTCCTCTCAAATAAATAAATATAAAATAAAAGGTTTATCTTTAAAAAAAAGAATTAGCGGAGGAGAAACCAAGATGGCGGCATAGGTAAACTGCTGCCTAAACCTAAACTGCTGCCTCGCACAACAATTTCAAAACTACAACTAAAAGACAGAATGACATCATCCAGAATCACAGGAAAGCTGGCTGAGTGGAAATCCTACAATTAGAAGAAAAGAAAAAAGCTCACGGAAAATCAGAGGAGCTGCAAAGGACTGAGACATGTGCAGGGAGAGGAAGGGCGGCCGAGTGCCTGGCTAGCTTTCTCTGGCGGGAGAGGGAAGGAAGCCTCCGACTACACTGAACCCCAATTCTGGGCAAAACCCCATAGACCCAGGCTCAGACAGGGAGAGTCTGGACTGTCAGGTAGAGAGAAAGTCACACAGAGAATCAGAGACTCAGGGAAACCATGTCAGGCAGGGGTCTGGAGGCACGCGCTCGCACAGAAAAGACTGCTGAGGCTGCTGCTGGCTCTTCCTAGCGGAAAGGAGTTGGAAGCTCCTGACTGCACTGGACCCCAGTTCTGGGCGAGCCTGGGAGACTCTGGACTGTTGGGCAGAAACTCAGAGGAGCCAAAGAAGGGAGAGGTCTGGAGGTGCATGTGCAAGCGCAGGGCGGATGGGAAACCAAGACTGTCTGCTCAGCCCTGATACTCCACCCCTTCCAAACTGAGCCAGAGGCTCTTGCAATTTTGCAAGTCTGGTCCTATAAGGCTGTCTCCAGCGCAGGTCTCCCAGCATAGACACAGCTGAAACACATAGCCAGTTGGCCTGGAGGTCAAATCTTCCCGGTGATACCAACAACAATCAAGAATTAACTACAACAAGGCTGTACACACAGACCACAAAGGGTGCATCAATAGTGTCCACCTCAGATGACTGGGAGGCCAATCCATTGGGTCATATAGGAAACCTAGCACACAAAGCTACCCTATTAAGTCAGGAAAGCAGAGAAAATGTGGAGACAAAGTAACAGATCACAAAAAAAAGAAACGGAGAGAAAAAACGACCGAATATAGAATTCACTACATGGTTATAAGGTTTAAAAGGCTGATAGCCAAAACCGGTTTGGCTCAGTGGTAGAGCGTCAGTCTGCGGACTGAAAGGTCCCAGGTTCGATTCCGATCAAGGGCATGTACATTGGTTGCAGGCACATCCCCAGTAGGGGATGTGCAGGAGGCAGCTGGTTGTTATTTCTCTCTCGCCAATGTTTCTAGCTCTCTATCTTTCTCCCTTC